GGACACAGACTTCGACATTATTTTGGGAATGCCTTGGCTTGCAAGTGCGGATCACACGATCAACTTCCACCGGCGGACTCTTACCATTCGCGACGCCTTCGGCGCCGAAGTGTCGTGTACTATTCCTCTTCCACACCTTTCGATTCGGTGCCAAGTGGTAACGGCCAAGTCATTCCGGGTTACTTGTGCTTAATATGAGCAACCCGACGAAATCGGCCTATGTTTCCTACGGACCGTCGCGGTAGCCGACTCTTCACCCACGGACTTGTCTTCGAACCTCCGTGTGGTGCGGTTGCTTAACGAGTTCGCCAACATCTTCGAGTCACCTACCGGTGTGGTGCCGGATCGGCCGATCTCTCACAAGATCATTCTTGAGGCCGGTGCTGTGCCGCCGAAAGGTTGCATTTATCGCATGAGCGAGGAGGAACGTACAGTTCTCCAGGCGCAACTCGATTATTTGTTGGACAAGGGCTGAATCCGCCCTAGTAGCTCTCCATACAGAGCGCCAGTTCTCTTCGTACGGAAGAAGAACAAAGATCTACAATTGTGCATTGACTACCGCAAACTCAACGCGCAAACCGTCAAGAATGTGGGGCCTCTTCCTCGCATCGACGATCTTCTTGAGCGATTGGGCGGCGCAAAGTATTTTGCTAAGTTGGATTTGAAGTCAGGATATCATCAAATCTTGATCCGACCGAATGATCATTACAAATCCGTGTTCAAGACGCGGTATGGGCATTTTGAGTGGGTGGTCATGCCTTTTGGCCTCACCAACGCCCCGGCGACCTTTCAAGCGGCAATGGCCAACGAGTTACGTGCAATGTTGGACCGGTTCGTGCTCGTCTACTTAGACGATATTCTCGTCTATAGTCGGTCATTGGAGGATCATCTTGAGCATCTTCGACGAGTGTTGGAGACGCTCCGCCGCGCCAAGTACAAGGCCAASCACGACAAGTGTGAATTTGCCCGGCAAGAGCTGGAATACTTGGGCCATTTTGTCACACCGGAGGGCATCAGTCCGCTATCGGACAAGATTCAAGCCATCCAAGAATGGTCGAAGCCGCGGAACGTCGTTCCTTGGCCTTGCCGGCAACTACCAACATTTTATCAAGGGATACTCAAAGATTACGGCCCACTTAACCAAGCTTCAATGCGAGGATCGACCGTTTGACTTCGGAGAGGACGCACAAGAATCATTTTTGACTCTCAAAGCCGCACTATTATCTGCGGAGGTCTTGCGCATATACGACCCGCTTTTGCCTACGCGCGTCACTACGGAGGCGTCCGGCTATGGCATTGGTGCCGTCCTCGAGTAACACGACGGCGTGGACTGGCACCCGGTTACGTATTTCAGCAAGAAAGTGTCCGTCGTACACTCCATTGACGATGCACGCAAGAAGGAGCTCCTCGCCTTCATCCACGCGCTCAAGCGGTGGCGACACTTCCTCCTTGGTCGAAGCCAATTCCGATGGGTGACGGACAATAATCCGTTGGTCTTTTACAAGACCCAAGACACCATCAACAACACCATCGCTCGATGGATGGCTTTCGTGGACCAGTTCGACTTCTTTCCCGATCATATTCCGGGGAAGTCGAACCGTTTTGCGGATGTTCTTTCACGACGTCTGGATCATTGTACCGCGGCCTATTCAACCTTCGAGATTGACAATGACCTGCGGGACAGCTTCATCCACGACTACCAAGCCGACCCCGAGTTTCGCGACAAGTACGTGAATTGCTCCTCTCCTAATCCGACGCCTTCTCACTACCAGATCCAAGAGGGGTACTTGCTTGTCCACACATGGGGAAGGACCTTCTTTGCGTACTGAGTGACCCTCATTTGCGTACACGGTTTCTTGGCGAGTTCCATGATGCTCCCACCACCAGACACTTTGGAGTCAATCGCACAATTGGCCGACTTCGCGAGTGATTTTGGTGGCCCGGCCTTCTCGGCGACGTCACACGCTATTGCGAGTCATGCGAGGTTTGCTGACGCTGCAAATCCCGCAACCATCGTCCATACGGCGAGTTGCGACCATTACCGGTCCCCTTGTGGCAAAGGGAAGCGATTGCCATGGACATTACCGGCCCGTTCCCCAAGCACAAGACCGACGTGGATGAGATTCTCACGGTGGTTGACCGACTCACCAAGTTCGCCATGCTTTTGCCTTGCCGCTATCATGCCAAGGCGCCGGAGTTGGCCGAGGTTCTTTACGCTGGTTGGATTCGAACCAAGGGTTACCCCAAGGAAATCGTCTGCGATTGCGACACTCGGTTCATGTCCGATTTTTGATTGGCGCTCATCAAACGATGGGGCTTATCTCTCAAGCCAAGTTTGGCTCGCCACCCCCAAACCGATGGCCAAACGGAGAGGGCGCATCAGACCGCACAGGTTCTCCTTCGCACTCTCATCCGCCCCGACCAAAAGGATTGGGTTGAGCTGCTGCCGGATGTCGAGTTGGCCTACAAATCGTCCATCCACCCGGCTACCGGGATGTCGCCCTTCGAGTTCGAGCAATGCTCGCCGGTCACTTCGCCGTTGGACACAATCATTCCACGAACGGCCGAGAGCGAGGACCAACTTCTTTTGGTGCGTCGGATGCAAGAGCTACTTGTCAAGGCACGCGACCAGATGGCCAAGACGCAGCAACGCATGATCCAACAGGCCAATCGCTAACGTCTTCCTTGCCCATTCCGTGTCGGCGATCTCGTTTGGGTTTCCGCCGCGGAATCAGCCTTGAACAAGCTATCTCTCGCAAGCTCCTCCCGAATTGGATGGGGCCCTGGCCGATCGTGGCACCCGCTGGGGATGCACTCGAGGTACCTTCCTTCACTATTCACGTGCCCGCCCACTTGCCCGTCTACCCAGTGTTTCATTGCTCCAAGTTGGCTTTTTACACGCTAGCGGAACATGACGATTTTCCTGGGCGACGTTCGCAAGACTCACCCTCTATGGACGGTTTTCAGGAGGTCGGCGACATCATCTCCCAGCGACGCTACGACAACAGGCCAACCGAGTACTTGGTACATTTTGCGTACTGCACTCACAAAGTTGACCGTTGGTTGACCCGTGCGGAACTCCAAGCAACAGCTCCGGATGTTCTCGCACATTACGAACGCAAAATGCAAGGCAAGCCGGTATCTTCGACTCCACGTCGCACCCGCGTCCAGGTTCCACCTTCAGATGGTCAGCTTCGCCCTCGACCCGGCTTGACTTCATAAGGAGGGGGGGGTGTTAAATGCTGCGCCTGCAACAGGCTGCACGGGCCATTTCCAGGCCCGTGACGTTTTCAGGCCAAAAGCCTGAAAACAAGGGCCTACAGGCCCTGTGTCGTTTCAGCCTGAAAGCCTGAAAACAAGGGCCTACAGGCCCTGTGTTGTTTCAGGCTAAATCAGGGCCTTTCCGGCCCTGAGTGTTTTCAGTCTGAAACTGAGGGCCATTTCTGGGCCCTCATCAGTTCGACCTGCCCTGAAACTCAGGCAACAAACCAGGGTTTTAGCACAGGCCATTTC